GTTTGTTGAGTGAGGAAACCATAACCTGGACATAAAGTGATATCACTAAAGTCACCTAGCTGCTAAGTGATGGGGCAGGGAATTAAACGTAGGTTTCTACTTTTAACTTAGGTTTTTAATAATTCTGCATTGTTAACCAATAAAACAGGCCTGCAGGCTGGCCCAGCTTGGTAGCAGGCCACTTCCCTTAGGCTTGTGAGAAGCCCCTCAAATTCAGTATGTCACACCTACTCTTTTGTCCCTAACTACATGTTGCCTTCCATTCTCCTGTATTTCAGTGTGCAGCACACTGTCAACCATGTCATCCAAGCTAGGATTTGAGCAGGACCCATGGGCTACAGCCAGCTCCTCAGAAGTCCCTCCTCTGTGTCTCCAGCTTTGTGAACCCACACCTGGGCTGCAACAACTGCTTCCTGGCTTGGCTCTGCCATCCTGTGTCTGACTCAGCTTTCTAAAGCCCACAGATGTGTCATCATTGTCACCTCCAAGCCTTCGTGAAGTGTGTGGCCACACAGCATCCAGCTATGGAAAGTCTGAATTCATATAGGAAAACACCTACATCTAGTCCAACCAAACAGGATATACTGTGAACACATATTATGCTGCTGACTACGCTGTTTCAAATGCTAGCTCCGGAAAACAAGGTGGAATGCTAAGGGTCTAGGCAGCTTTAGACCTTTAGGGAGTGGGCTTATGGATGGCTTTTACATTTTCTATGCTTTGCTACATTTTCTTGTTTTTTAACGTGTATTAACTTCTTAGTTTTTACATAAATATCTTCCAAAAGTACAGACTGTTGTTACAGGAAAAAAAAAAAAAAAGCGCTTCTTAGGAGGTATGCATGGACCCTGGGACCGCCCTCTGCCCACCCCTCGCTTGTTCCTGTCGTCTTTCTGATGGTGGTGTACGTTTAGAGATCCCCCCTTGAGTCACCACCCCTGCTGTTTCTAGCTCTCACACCCGCTCCCCCTGCTCCCCGACCCCCACTTCTCAGCAACCTGCCCCCCGCCTTCCTCAGAGCACTGGGTCATACAAGTTTCCATCTCGGCCAACGGTGCTAAGGCCCCAAGGGGCCGCTGCTGGGTGGGACTCAGTCACCCGCTCCTTACAGCGCTGACCATCTTAACTCTCACTTCAGCGTGGTTCACAGCTGGCTTGTAGAAACAGAGGACGTAAAACTAAGTCTGAAATAACTAGAAGTAGAACTAAGCTGTTAAGCCTAATATGTGTCTATACCTATAACTGTGGATAGCTCCTCCTTCATATCAGTCATTCTAGTACGTAATTTCTGTCATTTTGAGTTCAAAAAGGATCTGCCTCTGCTATATTCCTGCTAAGTATGATTATTATGGAGTTTTTATATATTAGTAACTTGAACTTACGATGTAACAGAGACTTAATGTTGATATAGACTTTAGTTTTAGAAGGAGAATGCCACACACTTATATGGGGCTGCTGAATAAAGCGAAATGTGAAATGTAAGAGATTTTTAAGAGATTTATATCTATATCTAACAAAGGTATAAATCTATATGGAGGAAGTACCGATTAGAGAAAAATCTACCAATAGAACCTACAGCGCACTCTCAACAGTCAAAGGCTCATGAAACATAAAGGTCTGTTTTCCTACCCAGCAAGTGCAGCATTTCACAATAGTGGTTTATCCCCGACAAAAACTTACTCATTTCAGTATAAAAAAATTTGAGAAAAGAAGGTCATTTTTAATAACATGCATCCTAAAACATATTGAAGAATTTCTCCGCGTCTTATAAGAGTACATTTAATATAGTTAAAGCTATTTATAATAACCTAAATTCAGCATGCTGAACCAGAACTCCAGCTCCATGGCTTGGCCCTGCCGTGTCCCGGGGGTTCATGCCTGCGTGGATGCAGTGCATGTGTACCCTCACTATTCTTTACCTTTTTCTTCCTATAACTTTCTTTTTGTGGAACCGGGGATTGAACTCAGGCCCTTGCGCCTGCCAGGGAAGCACTTAATCCACTGAGCCATCTCCCTGGAGATGGCTTCCTATAACTTAAGGCACTTCTGTGTGTTTCCTTTTAATAATTTCTCCCCTCCTCTTTAGTAGATGTCATCTGCTATAATACATGGTTAAATTTGAAGATACCAGGCCTGGTGAGTGATAGCTAACAGTATCACAAAGTACTCACAATTTTCTTCTAGATTTGAAGTTAAAAAAAAATTATCTATCTATCTATAGATATAACCTATATAATATATAATCTATAGATATATTATATAGATATAATCTATATAATATATAATATTATATATATATATATATATATATATATATACACACACACACACATACCTTAGCTCTCTGGTTATGTCTAGATCACTGGTGTTATAGAATGTTTAACCAGCTGTAATCCCAGCTACTTGGGAGGCTGAGGCAAGAGGGTCACAAGGTTAAGCGCAGCTGAGGCAATTTAGCAGTTCTCTGTGGTCAGTGCTTGGTACTGACCAAACAGACAAACAAAATGTAATCATTGGGCAAGAGAAGCTTCACTAGAGTATGGTAGAGGACAGAAATTTCACTAGGAGTTACTTGTCTTTTACATGGCAAAATAAAGCGTATTCCATGCTTGCCAATGAAAGTGATCTTGACCAAATGTCTCAGAAAAATCAATGATACGGGTCCACGAGCTGAACGCTTGTAAATCACCTCAACCATCAACGACTCTTTGCGACATAATGCAACACCCACGTACTCCTACACTGCCTTTGCCATTCTTCTGCCACCCTCCATTCCCTGGTTTTCTCACTAGTCTTGTTGGACAAGGGGGAGATGCCCGTTAAGATTAGTTTAAATAAAATTAAGATAATTCTGATACAAATCTCTACCCTCAATTATAGAAAAACATAAGTAATTTGTTCAGTTGTCTTACAAGCTCATGTTGGTTTAAGAAACAGCCAACTGGGCCAGGGAGATAGCTCAGTGGTTCAAGCATCCGCCTGGCAAGCGCAAGGACCTGGGTTCGATCCCCTGTACTACATGCTGCGCCTGCCCCACACTGTGCCATCCACTGATCTAGGCGTAGTTGGTGCACCCCTGTAAGCCCAGTCCTGGGGAAGCTGAGACAGAAGGATCTCCCATTGTACCTGCGTCCTCTGCATAGTGAGACCCTGTACCAAATAAATAAATAAATCTTTAAGAAAAAGATGTAACACACCTACACACAAGAACATAGCACCCCAGCGCCACACCGACAGGACCTTGGGAGCTGACCTGCCCTGACTCGTGTGAGGCTATGGGGCTAACAGGGCACAAATCAGAGGCCACATTGAGACTGCCCTGGTCTCAAATGTTTCGCCAAAAATATACTACAATTTTTAACTTTTCTTTTTTCCTTTTAATTACTGTAAAATATACTCAACAGATTTTACCCTCTTGCCCCCACTGACATGTCTGTGCATTTTGGAACCAGGAAAGGTAGCACAGTAGTACCTAGAGCAACAGAAGAACAATCCTCACCACGCAGGCTGACGCGGCCTTCTGTTTTTAGATGGGAGAGATGCAGTGCTTGGATCACAACTCTGTAGAAAAAAATTTTCTTTTCCTTCCCAAAACAGCCTGTGCCATCTACTGCCTAACAGCCCAATTAGGACACATGCCAGCTACGCCACCAACCCTAATCTCTCCCAAAGCAAAACCGCCTTATCTATGAACATGTCTACACTAACAACATTTAACATAAAATAGGAAAACTATCACCCAGCAAACACAATCATCGTTACCAGTTAAAATGTTGCCCTTAATAAGAACAGCTCTTACTGTTTCCTGAGCACGCGCTGGAGCTTTCATTCCCATAGTAAAAGGTCGCTTGGTTCTGACAGTCACCTCCTTACATCACGGTTCAAGCACAAATACCCTAAACGCCGCTTGGCAACGTCCTGTTTCTTGACTGCCTCAGCTAATATTACCAAGTATGAGTCACTTTCACCCACTTCCTTATTTAAACTTTTGCTGCTCAAGAATTTAAAATCAACTCACTTGCTGGAAAAAATAAGCCACTGGCTCTTTGTGCATCCAATTTTTTTTCAGGTCAGAGAAAATTATACCCTAAGACTGACTTTACTTCAGAGTTCTAAATATAACCACTAATCACTTTCTATTCTAATATTCTAGAGTCAAGCCTTTTAATATTCTGCCCTACGTTCATGTCCAGTAAGGCACAGCTGTATTAAAAACTCCCAAATTTCAGACTGGGATTTGCTATTTAGCAATTTTCCTGTAATTATCAAATTTTTCAATTTTGCACTCTGTTGTTTAGTATGGTCAGTAGAAGACGACGCAATGGAGACTTTGTCTTCAGAGATGCAGTTAATTCTCTAATTCTAGGGAAACGCTGTATACTGACACTGGACCTTTGGTTACCAAGATTCCCAAGTACCACACAGAAATCACAGTTTTTAACATTCCTAATGCAAACTGGCCACAGTCTTATTACTGGAGCGACATAAAGGTTTCTACTAGTTACTGTCCTAGTAACACACCGATTTGGTCCATAATATACCACCAACTTTTCAATAGACCTATTAAAATCTCTTATCATGACATTAAAAAAGAAACACTTTAATTTACCAGAATACAGGAAAATTATGAACACACTTCACTAGAAAAACTGGTCTTTGTTAGCACGCCTGCGATCCCAGCACTTGGGAGGCTGAGGCAGAACGATCGCTGAGAGTACCTGGAGAGCAGGTTTCAAAAAAACCCAATAATCTTAAATAAAGAAAGACAGCAAGGCTGTGGTTTTTCCTGTACCAGTCTCTACACCACTTTCACTCTTGAAATCACGAAAGATAAACAGAAATGACATAGGGGGGGAGAAAAAAAAAACAAAAAAACCCTCAGATATCTTGGCGACACCTGTGGGCACCGAGCACTGGAGGAAGTCAGGGCGCTGGGGTGGTGGTTGACTCCCACTCTCCGTGGCATGGAGTGTAGCCCCCGCACGTGTTTCGGGCCCCACCTTGGTCTCGGGGTGCTGCTCCGCGTGCTGCTCTGGCTCCACGGGGCTCTCCCCATCCTCCCGGTCCCGGAGCCCGGCCTCGGCTGCGGCCTCTCCTCCGCTCCCCGGGAGCGCGGGGTCCGCAGCTGGGGTTCCCGCCGGGGTCCTGCAGCCACCGTCAGGGGTATCATCATCTCGGGAGTCCGGGGGGCCGGTGGTGGGGGGGGATCCAGGCCCCTCCTGCTCTCCGTTCACGGCCTGCGCGCCAGGCCCGGGCTCTGCAAGCCGCACGGGGTCTGCAGGCCGCGTGGGATCTGTAGGCAGCACCGGCCCCGGGGGCTCGGGGCCGGCGAGGCCCTGTCCTCGTCCAACTGGGCTCCTTGGCACCTCCACGCCGTTGGCCACGCGCGTTGGTGTGCCCCGCAAGTGTGTGTGCATGCGCTCATCCCCAGTTCGGCCCTGCCGGCCAGGGGTGCGTGGGGTGAGCGGGCTCCCGACGGGGTCCCTCTTCGGGTCGGGGAAGCTGGACAACGCGCTGTAGGAGACAAAAAGCAGACACCAAGTGAGACGCCAGGAGCACGCAGCACAGAGGAGCCTACCTCCAAAGGAGTCACCCCAGCCACCTTCACACATGAGTAAAGAAGGGGGCCGGGACTCCCCCTGGGGTCCTGGGCAGCTCCTTGGACCTCCAGTGATGGAGCACTCTGTTGAACAGAAGCATCTTTTCTCAGGTTTTGACTTCTCTCACCTCTATGATGATGCACAGCAACGCTGTTTACGAACTGATTCGGCAGAGCTAATTTCACTGGGTTAGCAGAACGCACCCTGGCCTACTTCAACTTGTGCTGCGGTAGCCTCCTGCCCTGTTTCCTTTCCTGATCCCTTCTCGTATCCACAAGCCAAAATGATTACTGGTGCCTCCTTGCATACTCACGGGTAAACTGAGGCCTCAGCGCTACCTAAGAGGCTGAGTGTCCTCGGTAACACTTGGACTGGTTGTGTATGGGCTGCACCCTGCGGTCCTCCAACGGGGGCAGGAGAGCACATCAGAGGGTCTCTAGGAAGCTCTCCCCAGGAAAGCCTCCAGGGCCCCGTGTGGCTGATTCCTTTTCATCGCGAGGCTTTTCTGCATCACGCTTGTAAAAGAACACAGACCCCTACCCCGTCCACCTCTCGAGTCACTTTGTTACGGTCCCCACACTGGACCTAGTCCTAGCAGCACTAAGGACACCATGGAACCTACTCCTAGCAGAACAGTTTTCCTATGGAAATAGCTGGGTGCATTTGCACCCCGGATATCAGGGTGGGGAGCTCCCCACCAGGCTGCATGCTGAGAGGTTCCTACGACCTAAATGAGCACAAATAAAAACAGACAGAGTGCCTGTGAGTGCCTACTGTGCCGCCCGGCTGCCCGCCTCATCCCTCTCAGCCCAGAGCTCCATGTGCGCCATGTGCCAGGAAGTATCCGACAGTCCAGGAGTCACCTTCAGACGACCATGACGGCAGTACAGCAGCAGGTAACATTTATTAAGTGTTTCCTATTGGCCACAAGCCACAAAGGCCCTTCCAGTGGATCATGTTTCTTCTTCATAAATCTAAAAGGGATCCCTAAGTACAGAAATCCAGGCTTAGGAAAGGATGCTGTGCAGCCAAAGTCCTTGTGGTCTGACCCTACTGCATCACACCCTGCAACACTTGGGATGTGAGGAGCAAGCAGTGAATGAGTGAATGAGCTGCAGATGTGGGGGGGGGGTCCCCGGGGAGGAGGCGGCAGGTAAGGGGTGGGTGAGAAGCGGCAGGGGAGGGGCCAGTCCACAGTCCCACAGACCGTAGGACCGACCGCACGACCACACGACTGCGCCCTTCACCCGTCCACCCGCCGTCTACCCAGCCTGGCTGCTGCTGCTCTGGACTGGAGATGGTTACCCAGGAATTAACCAGGCAACAAGCAATCAGGGAAGAAGATGTGGGTGGAGTCCAGCAGCACAAGGACAGTCGGGAAGATGTAGTAGGGAATGCGTTACACATGAAAAAGTTGGAGGCAGCCCATGTGAACAGGTGTCCCCATCACACCAGCGGGCTGCCCCCCACTGCTCAGCAGTCGACGGGGATCTGAATTAAGCTCCCTTCTTTCCTGCCCATATCAGGCAGGGTCAGATGCCCTGAGAGAAAGACCTCCAGGGGTCCTCTGCACAATGAGGCAGGCTCAGGGATTTTCAGGACTGCTTTGGGCGGCATCTAGAAATGTGATCTCTATAAATGACAGCGAGGGTGTACGTGAGGGTGGCGGGTTGGTAACAGAAGAATCAGTAAATGATATGGTTTCCGCTGCCTCATGGACCGGAAATGGAGCAGGAGACAGACAGTTGGCTTTGTGAAGCCCTTCGGGAACAGTGAAGTGATGGCCACATCTGCAGGGAAAAGCTAGTTCTAAAACGCCAAGACTTCCATAAGACAAAAGGGTACTCTTACTTCGGTAGAAAGGAGAAAGGGGACAGGGCAGAGGGGAAACTACAGAAAAAAATTATTCTATTCCTTTAACTGCTGTTCTTAATGGAGTAAGGCCCTAACTGTGAGGCCCTAACCACAGTGGGACACAGCCTGCTAGGATCCACCTAACCGGCCTCCACCCTGGGAGATGGTGGTTCTTCCTGCCCATCCCCTGCGCTGACCCAGGGACTAGTGATGTCCCTTATTCCACAAGGTGCTACTCTAGGCCGTGATAACTGGAATTCAGTCCAAAAATCACCTTGCAGGCACAAGAACTTCACTCAACAGCAAAGAGAAATTTCCCATTAAAATCCTAGAGAGCTGATGCAGTATTAGCCCACTCTTCTGGGGTGGGAGTAGGGAACAACTCAGTGCTGCCCCCTGTAGCCAGGCCACTGCAGTATCAGCAGTGGACTCTGCCCAACTTGTGTCCCTTTGAGGATTAGTCAAAACACATGGAGCTCTCAGACTTGCTTAAAAATGTCATAAATTATAGCCCATCACTCCTGAGCTCCAGCCTTCAAGCTCTGCACCTTCACGAGTCTGCAGATTGAAAGGTAAAAGAAAACGGATGATAATTAGTGGGAAAACTGCCTGTTTCACTGGAGAGAAGAATGTGGGATAATGCAAAGTGTGGGCTTGCAAGGCAGTGAGCGGTACGGGACTCACCACTTGGGGGCCACACCCTAGGATGTGGGTACCAGGGTGCACCAAGGACACCCTCCTCCTCTCACGCAGGGAATGGATTGGCTGCTGGACTCTGCCAACAGAAGGGATCAAATACTTATTCCTATTATTATTATATTATTTTTTTATTGTTAAATATTGAACTTACCCTGAGGGGAGTAACACATATGATACAATTAAACTTTTCTTGTAAAGCTTGCTATCATCCCAGCTAGCAAAGATATGATACCTCCTGACTTTAGAACAGGAGACACTGATGTTTAAAGATGTATGATAAAAGTTCCAAAAATTAATGAGGAATGAAAAATGAAGTCAGGCTTCTAAATTACTTTTCTCCAGAATTTGTAACTAAATATAGTCTTATTTTAAAGGATGGAAGCTGCAGTCTTCTGCTTGGTCATAATTTCCAGAACAACCCAAAAATATTTCTAAGCTATGAGTTTATTTAATAGTAGTGAATCCTATAAATTAAAAAAAAAAACCTAATGAGAAATTGTTCTCAAATATTACACTGGAATGAGTGAAAATACTTGGTTTTAAGGGAGAAAGTAAAGAAGTTATATATGTTTGTGTTTTTTTTTTTTTACTTTTCAGGGTTTTTTTTTTTTTTTTTTTTTTTTTGTGGAACCGGGGATTGAACTCAGGCCCTTGTGCTTCCCAGAGAAGCGCTGATTCCACTGAGCCATCTCCCCGGCCCCCTAAGAAGTTATATATGTTCTGTTTCATTACACACATTTCTGGTGACAGGGAAAGAAAAATCCTTCTGATACATTTTGTATTCAAATTCTATTTAAGTCAGTGATGGGAATTCCAGCAATAGGCTAAGAGAATACACAGTTGAGGGTCTCATTTGTAAAATGTACCAAAGGCGGGTATGGAGTAGAGAGAGATGGATGAACGGGTATGGAAAATTTACATTAGATAAAGCCCCAAGACAAGCCTAGCCCACAGGGGTCACGCTTACAAACACACAAAGTAAGCAAAAAGACAGGACAACTCCCTTGGCCCTCCAACCCAGAGACTAGCCGACACAAAGGCTCACAAAGGGTGACAGGCACAGAAGAAGCGATACAAAAGCACATAATTGCATACACATACTGGTGGCATCGGATACTGCACATCGGCCACATACTGTAAATGACAGGTCATCCGAGGGCAAGAGCCCGTCGTGTACTTTAAGATGTGCTTCCTGAAGGCCCACAGACCCTGGCGCAATTCAGCCTGGTAGGCTTTGATTCACATAACCTGCAACTATCGGCTTGTGGAATTAGCTTTTTCCTCCCTTGCCTCTACCCGGTGCAAGTTAACTCTTACCTGCCTCCTTCAAAGCGACTGATGAGATCTGAGACCTTACTGGGTTTTTCTTTTGAGACACAAGAAGCAGAGGCAGGTTTAGCTTCCTCCATCCTGGGCTTTGATCTAGATAAAGCTTTCTGCTTGGGGGTTTGGTGTGTGTTGGACGAAGGTGAATTCTGCAGATGTAATGGCTTTGGAGGCACTGTAAAGAAGAACAGAATTTAATATTTCACTGACATTTTGTTCTTTAGCAGTAAAATTCTGGTATCCCAGGTGCAAAAATCTTCAACATCAACCACTATCACAAAGGGGTTTGTCGCACTGAAGTCCACCTTAACCAAGAGGCATGTATCCTAGACACTTGCTCCATATTCCGTGAAAATTCTACTTCCAAACATAAGTTGCTATTTTAGTTTCAGCTCATCTTCAGCACAGCATTGATTCACACCTGGAAAGCTGAATAAGGCTGCAGCACTCCAGCATCTGTTAGAGATACCAGGACAGCTATCTGTTTGAAGAGCGGGAAAAGGTGCTAGATTGGAGACTGAATCCTGGAAATGCATAGTTTGCCAAGATACAAGGTTTTCTGTAACAGAGTGCTAAAGATAGACCAGAATCTGGAATGAGTGAGTTGAACAACATAAAAGCCAACAGAAAGAACAAGAGACAAAAATACAACATGGCATTGACCCGGCGCCTTGCCACTTAATGAAAGCACTTGACCTCATTTGAGATATCATGTCTGCATCTTGTACTATGAATAACCCTACAAAGACAACAATATGCAAAGTGTTAATTACTGTAACTGAGTTTCTATCACATCCCCAGTCTGTGATGGCTTGGGGAGGCTGAGTGAGCTGGCTAAAAAGGCTAATCCAGTTCTAGGCCTGATACTGGGACTCCAGCTCCTCAGCATAAATCCAGCCAAACAGGGTATGGGGTGAAACAAGTTCTGCTGTCCGTGACATTCTGTAGTTCTCTTGCATTGCTGTGCCATTTGTTTACAGTAAGTTCTTCCCTCTAGCCCCAGCAGGAACAGATCACCTCATGAAATACCAAAATCTACAGCATTCCACATTACAGATGGGAAAATACATGCCACGAGTATATTATCCAGATGGGAATCCTTTCACAACACTTTTCTCTAAGATGCACATTCGAGACATCCAAGTCCCAGCACTTGGGAGGCAGAGGGAAGAGGATCTGCCACAAGTTCAAGGGTAGCCTAAACTACACAGCAAGACATTGACTCAAAAACACAAAACAAACAAACAAAGAAAAATACCACTTAGGGTAAAAGTTGATAATATATACAATCTCTCTCTCCCTCTCCCCACCCCTGTCCCTCCTCCTCCCCGCCTCTCTTTTATTTCATGGATTGAACTCAGGACTTTCGTTTGTGCTTGCCAGGCAGGCACTTAAGCCAATGAACTATCTGCCCAGCTTTTGTTCATTTTTTAAATATATGGTCTTGCTGTCTAGTGCATGCTGGTCTCAAACTTGAAATCTTGCTTCAGCCTCCCAAGTGTTGGAATTGTGTGTGCCACGACACCCAGCGACAATGACTATTTTCTATATCTGCTTTTAACAGATCAAACAGAATCACCTCTTACTTTGTGTAAGGCTTTCTCCTCCTGGGAGCCGGGAGAGGACTTGGGGCTCTTTCTACGTGCATGACCCATTTTCTCCTGCTGGTTACGCTGGTTTTGGGGTTTTCTCGTTTCTTTTATAAATTCAGCCAGTTAATAGCGGCCAGCTGCTCACTGGCCTGATTTCATCATTTCTGTGCCAATGGTCAATTTATTACAGGGAAGAAAAAATACAGTGAGCTACAAGTGGAGCAGTTAATTCTCTCCCAACATAAGAAAATGGGAATGAAAAACAGTAAACTGCATTTCTGGTTCAAGACAGGGCTGGGGGAAATGGTTAGTGTAGCAAGCACTGGGAAGGAAGGGGCTTAGCTAAAGATGGGGGTTCTTTTTTTTTTTTTATCTTTTTGTGACACAGGAATCAAACTCAGGACCTTCTGCACATTAAGCCCATGCTCTCCATCCCTGAATTGCTACCCCAGTTGCATCTGTTAATTTTAAGGGGGAGGAAAAAGTTCTATACAAAATACATAACACAAGCAATAAGACAAGATAATAGCTCACAACAACCCATATAACTTTAAACATCAGCAATAATTTCATCATTTCTAACCTGTTTTTTCTTCTGAACAAAAGCAGTGAGTATGTTCTCTGTAATTCTCTGAGCTACAACTGTCACAAACCATCACTTATCGAGAGAGTTTACTTACTAAATATACCATGAGTCTACGATATGTTAGGTGCTGAAAAACGGACAGAGATAGGCGCCTGTCAGCCAGCTGTGATGCCCCCAGCCCAGCTTCCTTCTCTTTTGCTTTCTGGTGCTGGGGCTCAAACCCCAGATCCCTGGGCACACACTGTGGGCTGGAGCTATAGCCTTCTGCCCAGAGCCGCCGCCTCACTTGTCACAGAACCTTGTGCTCATTCTCCAAAGAGCTTACACGTTCTGCATAGTTGTCATATAACTAATAGTATGTGAGGTCAAGCAGCAAAAAAGCAGTAAAATATTAAATACAGATTTAAAGCTTTTTCCTCCTCCTCCTCCTCCTCCTCCTCCTCCTCTCCCCCCTCAGGTGCCAGGGATGCACACGCTAGGCAAGAGCTCAAGCACTGAGCCATGCCACAGTTTCTAGGCTAAAGAATACATTTCTTTTCATCACAACCACATTTACAGGGGATGACTTGTGCTGTGTTTGACCATTTTGTGAAACACATATAGGAAATAATTAATATACCAACCTGGAATTCATATTCTAGTGGAGAAACAACTTAGTGGTGTTGATAAAGTGGGCACCGAGCACGCAGGCATTTTAGAGACATGGAGGAAGCAGCTACCCTAGCAAGAGAGGGAATCTAAATACACAGTAAGTCAGCAGCACACACACATTGAGTAAAAGCACAAATGGCGCACGCACATGGTAACATCTCAGGGTGACACATGAAGGCCCAAAGTCAGAAACATCTTAGAAGAAAGCCCTGTCCTTCTGGTCAACATTAGTTGGCATATATCTTGGTTACTTTTCTCTTGCTGCTGAGACCAAATACCCAACATCCAACTAAAAGAGAGAAAGATTTCTTCAGCTCAGTCTGGAGGTTTCAGTCCATACTCGGCTGGCTCCAAGGCAGAGGGCAGCAGTTCATGGTGGCTGAAACCAGCAAAAGCATCAAGAGCAAAAAGAGAGGAGGTGCCAGGAACCTCTTTCCTTCCTGTATATGGATGCAGGCTCACTGCCCCAGGGCGGGTGTAGCACTCACCTATAATCCCAGCACAGGACCCTGACTCAATCACAAATCCTGGGGTCCTGCCCCCCATGACTGCATGAGGCTTTAGGGGGACATCTGGACACAAACCATAACAGTATATAACAAAAATCATGCATGCTGTGCTCAAAAGACCTTCCCTAAGAATCAAAATGACTCACTATTAAAGGTAAGTGGCAATCTAGGAACATAGACTGCAGAATTCAAAGGGAAACGTCCCATTTGCTCTGTGCTTAAGAAGCTAAACATCCAACTCGAATTAAAAACCAAGAGCTCCAGTCTCCGTTCAATACTGATCACCCAGAGGAGGAACTGTCAGCAGGAGCCCGCGAGGAACGGATAGCTCATGTTACACAAACCCAGTTTCTCTCCAAGGCCACAGTTTCTTAGCCTCTGGGATACCCAACTAGCTGCAGTCACGCTTTTGATCTCTTAAGGATTCTTCCTTTTCCTTCCTTGTTGCCTAGATATTCTCCAAGGATTTGGACGAAGGAGTTTTCTGTCCTCCTCCCTTATAAACTTGCATCTGAATAGATGCTTTCAGCTACAGCCTCTAGCAAGACACTCCCATCCCCGAACTTCTTCAATACAGTGCGGATCAGGGCTTCCTAAGACTTGTGCACAGCTGCTCCGGGGTCATCGGGGTCATCAGCAACTCTAGTCCTTGGTGTCTAAAGCTCTGTTCTTGCAAACCAGCTTCTCTACCTGTATTCTCCATCTCAACAGTGCGAGCACCATTCGTCATTTATCTCAGAACCACTCCTTGTTATATGGGTAGTGGATATCAGCCAAGTGCCACTTCGTGTCCTGGGCCCTGCAAACCTGTTTCCGGATCTCCCACATATACAGTGTTGAGGGTGGGGGCCACAGAACTCCTCCGGCCCTCTGCCAACATCGATCTCCTTTTCATAAATTATTAACGAGGCCCAGGTGCTTGTCCCCAGCAGGATCTGCCCTCTGCCCCTCTTCCTTCCCATGGATATTATCCCTAGACTCTCTTATCTCACAAAGCCCTGGCACCCATGTTTTAACTCAGAGTTCTTTATGCAAAAGAATCAAATTAAAAGGCTCCTAGCATTTATGCACGCACCTATAAAATGAGTATGCACAGGCAACTTGTATTATGGTCTCAGTACCTTCTGGTAAGAGACGGCAACTCGGATCCATTGCTACTCCAAAGAATTAGAGAAAGTCCAGGCTTACAGAGAGAGAGACCAACACAATCAATCAGCAGTCTTGATTAACACAATATGCCAGCCACCCTCTCAATCGATGGGTAACGGGGTACACCGACAAAGAGTACACGTCATTTGAATGTGCCACACTGGCTTGGAGATCAGTTTAAGAAGAAGGCATTGGAAACACAGCAGGTGCAAAAAGAGCACTTGACCATAAAAACAAAGGGGGGAATCTCTACAGCAGGGGTCCCCACCCCGGCCACGCTATCCTGGCCTGCCTACTGTGAACTGGGGCATGAAAGGTCATGGTGGCTGGGAAGAATCGGTATAAACCTTGTTAAACTAACTCCCATCTTCCCAGTTTTTCCTCAGTAATTAAGGGAAAGTCAGCTTGCCTCATCATGTTTTTGTAATGTATCATTGTTTGCTCCCTTAGTATACAAGAGTTCGGATATAATAACTTCTTTAGGTTTGCATTTTTCTTAGGAAAGACTCCAACATAAAAAAAAAATCAAAATGTGTATGTTTTTCTCTTGCCAAGCTTGACTTATGTCCGTCTAATTCTTAGGTCTAACCACAGACCCTAGGAGGGTGGAAGAGAATGTTTTTCTTCCTTGCAGATCCAGGATCATGAATTAGAGACAGCAACCTTTGTCTTTAACCTATCAAAATTG